ATTCGACACACTCTGCGGGAGCTTATTAATCAATCATTGCAATCTGGGCACGTGCCGCATATTTGGAAATAATCTTTAGTTGTTCCTATACAAAAAGTTGCTGGGACGATTAAAGCCGAAGAGTTTCGTCCCATCAACATGTTGCACACATTAGAGAAAATTTTAAAACTTGTTGTAAAAGGCCAGCAGTTAGAATATTTATATAGTAGCTGTTTGTTGATACCGGAACAATCGACGACCACTGAAAAGCTATGAAATCCATCGCTCTTGTCACACGCCCCTTAGAGGGTTCTCATACTAAAGATCACTTGGTAATGCAATTCGAAGCTAAATGTACGGAATGGAATATCGAAAATGAGGTTTAAGTAAAGCTTTTAAGTACCGTGTATTTCATTTTAGTTAGCGTTATTGTTACCGATGGTGGCGCAAATAAAATGTAATACAATAAACAATAAATTTGAAGCAGCAGAGAGGGTAGAGCAGGAACACACGTTGATAAATGAAGACACTACCAACGATGATCAACCGAGCTAGATTCAAGGCAGCAAACAAAGCCTGTGGGACATTCACGATCGTTTGGTAGCTAACGAAACTAGGTCGTGGAAAAAAACGGCATCGATGAAACCTTACCAATCGTGCGGAATATCAGGAGAGCTTCGCAACTATTTGCAACAGAAAGTCATTCCTAGATCATCTGATCCTCTTGAAGCTTGGAGTATCATTAAAAGCGAATACCCACACCTCTTCTTGATTGCAATAGACTAAATATCAAGGATGGTAACATCTGTACCGTCTAAAAGACTGTTCTCCAGGACTGGCAGAACATGTGAAAACCAATTCAGACTCAACGCTACTAGAATGTTCCATTTTCTGTTATATAATTACAGATTTCTTTACTTTTTATCTCCTGCCGTATTATTTAGAAAAACGAAATTCCTCCAAAACCTGTATCGATACGGTAATATCGATAATATCGATACTTTTCACCCAATTTTGAGCATATACATAGCATATGAGCATACATTCCAATTCGATATCTCGATACTCAAGTAACGATACATTTCACAATATCGCCCATTGCTAGTTTCAACACTCCGAAGGGTATAAATAGCGGGTCCCGCTAAAGGTCCTTTCAATTAGAGTCGGATCGTAGCGATAAATGCAAGAATGTCAACTGTAAAACAAAATCGAATACTTCATCATTTCTCAATAGTAATGGAGTAATACGACATGCACTAAACTAAGGACACGGGATAAACTACAATAGCTCAAATTACTCGTCGCAGTGGTTTTAGGTCCCGAACAAAGGAAAAAAATAATCCCCTCGTAGATGACCAGAATGACTTTACCGACGCCTAATGATCTTGAAAGTACTAGTTCACCGGAGTCGGTCATTAGTGATCATACTCGCTAGTCATGCTCAGATTGTATACTCATCGTATTTTTGAGGCAATTGCAATTGCGTCGTCATCGTCGTCGGTGATAGATTTGTGTTACTCATCATATACTGGTGTGATGTGATATGAGGGGCTCGGTGGCCTTAGAGTGACCGTTTTTGCATACTGAGCCGAACATCATGAGTTTAATCTCAGTCCTTTTCACATCCATGATTCGTGTGTCGTGTTTAGCGTACTGTTGATGCAAAACCGACCCTTTTATCCAACATCTCAGTGATTTCTCGTGGATGTGAAGAGGATTTCTCGGCATCCGATCAAGCGAGTATCACGTCAACACATTCTTGCCCATTCCTTTACTGACTTGCATTCCAATGTATCTGGCGGTGGTATTGCCTATTACAAAGTGTGAGATCACAAGTTTTTATACATTGAGTATGTATGTTAGTCCCAAGCGTCATATGATGGGTCTCTGTGTGAGCTGATCTGGAAATAACGGAGTAGAAACCGCAGGTGTTCAATCCTGCTCATGTTCCCCCCCATGAGCACGGCTAATAGTTGCAACCAAGGTTGCAAAGACTCATTTCAGCTAAAACAATGTTTTTCTAAATTATGAAATAATTACATGCCATGATCAAATTTTGAATTGGTAGGATACAAGAAGAGGTTGCAAAGAATGTGTTTGACATATTAAACCTGTTTATTTCACTTCATGAGAGTCACAATCAGCGATTTTTTACAAACTCACTCACTCACTCACTCACTCACTCAGCGATCAGCAAATCGCTGATTGTGACTCATAGAAAGCAAAATTTACAGGTTTTATGTTTCCAACGCATACTTTGTAACCTCTTCTTGTAAGTTACAAGTAAAACATGCCATCATACCATCTTTTGGTTTTATTATTCCGAAAAACATTATTTTAGCTGAAATGATTCTTTGCAACCTTGGTTGCAACACTCATCAGTCTCCATCAAGTTCGGTGTTCCAATACCTACCTGTTTGTTTCGTATCCCTTTCTCGACGAAGGCTCCGCTCTTAAGTGCACCCCACACGACAGAAGATTTGTCAATTTATCCATCAATATTTTCAACAATATGTTTGCTGCGATGTTGTACGCGTTGGACTATTCAGAATGACAACTTACCTGACAAGCAATATCCAGAGTCAGACCCCATCTACTACCAGATTTGCGACCTATCACAATCACGATCGACAAACAGCTGATGGTAGTAACGCTTAGTACATTCCTATCAATGTGCTAGTCGTAGCACTCTCCTGACTGTCCATCAAGTTGACGAAAGAAGTAAAAATCATCTGGCGAATGTCGTCTTTGGTGGTGATCCATCACCGATCTGGTCATTCCCGACAATCATGACACTCATCTGTGCTCGTTTTGAAGCAGTTGCTGCTTTGCTTGCTTAGGTGAGTGTGTTGGTGGGTGAGCCTAACAGCTTCCATTTAATTTTGCCAGCTTTGCTTGTAACTCACACAGTAGCGCGTGCCGAGACGAACTTGGAATGCGAAGGCATTGTTTTCATTTTCTTCTGTCGTTTCGCTTTTTCTCATCACCGTATTGCAGAAGTCTTCACTATTTTCGTTGTGGTTTATATCATCAGCAGTGAGTGTTACGTTTTGCTTGTTGTTTGTCATGGCTCTACCTCTCACTGCGTGACAAAACTTTCTGTCAGCGATAGTTGGTTGATGCGTCGACGAGTGTCGAATGAGTGTCATGATATTTTGCATCACTGTCTACTACTGTAGTAAAACAGATGAGTAAAATGAGAGTAAATGTATATTGGCATTAATATTTTCGTCGTCAATATTATTGATAATATTTTTACAATATTGAAACTAATGTTCTACCCGACAACAACTCAGCAGAACGAGACTCCTTGAACTGTGTCTCAGAGTCGGCGCACTACTGGGTAAACTGGAGAGGCTACGCGGACGAAAAGGCACTCATGCTTTCCAATGAACTGAAACACAGCGCGGATCAACTTAAACACTGTATTTTGTTTAATTAGCGATAGTGTGGATTGTGTGGTGTTGTGATCGATTTTCTGGAACATAACCTTGACGACGATGGCGACTGTCGTGACTGCAGTTCAACGAGCGCTCGCTGCGGTTCCGGAATGATTCTGTCGATGGCGGACGATTAAAGGCCGATCTTGTTAGCAAGATGGCGGTACCACCGCTCGATGAAATTACAGTACAATTCCGACAATGGCGGATGAAGCAAGGCTGACCAAACGTCGGCTGTAGTACGATGGCCGGTTGGTTTTACCGGGGCGGGTATAGCGGTTTGTGGAGATGGTTACGATGCACAGGCGCTTCCTTATGACGAAGCCGGTCAACAACGGAAAGGCCGTCCTCTGTCGAACCGGGAAGGGAAGTTCTCCTTGGCGTTTAGGGCCTTCAGCCCGAGAACGATGTCCTTTACGTTTAGGTCAAGGTAACTGTACGCGCACGCACTAATTTCCGGACATACGCAGGCTTTCTTGACGGCACTGGTGGCCTCTGGGCCCAAAAGCGTATCTGCGGCACGTTGAAACAAAAACGTCACGATGGAATTGAAACGAAGGCGTTCGCTTCCCACACACGCGGCGATGGGGTTTTCCTAACCCAGAACTTGATCGTTGCTCGCCCTCTTTTTCACTAAAGATCGGCCGACGCACATATCGTCAAGTTCTCACCATCAACGGCTAAGTCCCCCGTTAATTTGGGACTTAGTAGAAAAACCTTCTTCGACCACACAACCGAAGTGACAAAGTGTCTTGCTAAAACGGCACTTAGCAAAAACCACACGGCGGACACCGACCTCGGTCAACCAAGAGAAAATCTTTCGGATCACTTTGAAAAAATAGCGTTTCTCGTTGGAACGTCTATATTTCCCGAACTTCTGATGGCAACTAACTCTACGTTTTTGTTTAATGCTCTGCATGTATGTATGTGTTTGAAAGGAAAAAGATCGGGATCGAGTAGTATAATCGCGATCGGTGTATTTGCATGTTTGCATTGTGTGATTTGTTCGTAGTTCGTAGGTACTAGTATATAAGAAATTAGATCTGTTTCGTTGTTTGTAAGGTAGACAGCAAATAATGTCTCTAGGTTAAATTAGATGCAAGAAATTCAATTTACTTCTAGGAACAAATTCTACTTTCAAGCTATTAGATAAGTTTAGGTTAAGATCAGTACCTAACATTCCGGCCACCTTAAAATAGCCCATTTTAACGAACCTAATTCTAAATCATTCTGCTGGCGTAGATGCACCGTGTGCCCTTTGCAGAGGGTATTGGACATCCTGGTATCTTGAAGGTTGGTGTGCGTAGAATACAGACGATTATCGTAACCGGAAAAGAAACTAGATTGATTAGTTTGATACATCAGTTTTTACCTTTATCGATCTCGGTGTCGTCGGATGGCATCGGAAGAAGAGCGATTTTGGCGACTGGCCGGGTAACACTGTCGGTGGTCGCCGTCCGGAGTGTGACGACTCGTACTATTCCGTCCTGCCCAGGATGGAGTTTCGTGATGCGGCCCAGTGGCCACTGTGCCGGAGGGAGGTTATCGTCTTTTATGATGACTAAACGACCAACTTCGATGTTAACGGGCAATCGACAGCCTTTGGCGGGCTTGAAGTTGTTGGAGATATTCGGGGTACCACCTTCTCCAAATCTGCTGGACTCGTTTTTGCACTAACTGCCATCGTGACAGCCTGTTGTCCGGTGTTGGTTTGACGTCGCACTCGGGAATCGCTTGAAGATTGGAGCCGACCAAGAAGTGACCTGGAGTGAGTGCTTCCAAATCGGCTGGATCGGGTGACATCTGGGTAATTGGCCTGGAATTCAGGCACATTTCTACCTGAGCGAGTAGAGTTATTATTTCGTCCTGGGTGGCTGTTGTTGTGCCTAATTCTTTCAGTAGATGATTTTTCGTCGATTTTACCGCCGCCTCCCATAGTCCACCAAAGTGGGGCGCGCGGGGTGGTATGAACTTCCACTCGATGTTGCTGTTGGTGCACCAGTTGAAGATAAGCTTGCGGTCCTGTTCGTTTGTCTTGAGCATTCGGTACACTTGGTTGAGCTCGTTTGCAGCTCCCTTGTAGTTGGTCGCGTTATCAGAATGCAACTCTGAGACCATACCGCGACGAGCAACAAATCTTCGGAGTGCAGCAAGGAATGCTGCCGTCGAAAGATCGTGAGCAAGTTCTATGTGGACCGCTCGGGTGGAGAAGCATACAAAAATAGCGATGTATGCCTTCACTGGTCCAGCCTTGCGGTGTGCTCCTTTGAGGTAAATTGGACCGCAGTAGTCCACTCCCGATACAGAGAATGGACGGGATGGAGTTACTCGTGAGGTTGGTAAATCGGCTGTTGATTGTTGCACGAGAGTTGGCTTTCGTCGGAAGCAGGTGTGACATTGGTGGTACACCTGACGAAGGAGATTCCGACCTCCGAGAATCCAGAATTTTTGACGAATGGTGCACATCATCAGCTGGGGTCCGGCATGCAGTAGCAATCGATGGTAGTGGTTGACCAGTAGCGTGGCCAGCGGGTGCTTGCCGGAAATGATGATTGGGTGTTTGGTATCTTCAGCAGCCTTGGAGTTTTCGAGTCGTCCACCGACCCGAATGACGTCGTTTATGCTAATGATCGGGTTGAGCCAATTCATCGACGAAGATTTATCAACTAGTATACCGTTTCGTAGAGCTGCCACTTCTCCAAAGAACGTATCGCGCTGAGCCAGGCGACATATGGCGATTTCGGCCTCCCGTAGTTCCGACGTTGTGAGGAATGCGGCGGTTTGTACCAGAGACTTCGATGAGACTGCACAAGCACCATTTGGATGGTTGCTTGCGGCTGATGCGTGCAGTGCACGCAGGTAGCGGGAAACATAAACGACGATTCGGCGTAGCTTGGAGTATGCCGAGAAGCGACCAAATAAGAATTCAGAGAACTCGTTGGATTGTGCTGCGCTGGCTACTAGAGAAATCTTGCGTTCTTCAGCGACGGTTGTTGAAGTATTATCGCCTCCGATGGATTGGTTTGGCCACAGGTCCGACGGAAGCTTCAACCATGTTGGTCCGGTCCACCAGCGTTCGCAGTGGAGAAGATCAGCCGGAGTAAGGCCACGCGAGATGTCATCGGCCGGATTGTCGGACCCAGCGACGTGATTCCATGGATTTCCCACCGTAGCTTGTTGGATTTTTGAGACTCGATTGCCCACGAATACCTTCCAGCAGGCCGGTGATGACTTTAACCACTGCAGCACCGTCGTGGAATCTACCCAAAAGAATACAGGACAGTCTGATTTTAGGGAAGCAATTACCTTTTGGAAGAGTTCCGTAGACAAAACCGCCGCGCAGAGTTCCAAGCGCGCAATGGAATGGCGAGTCTTCAAAGGCGTGACTCTTGACTTTGCTGCCAGCAAATGGACATAAATGTTCTGATGTTTATCTTCGGAGCGCATGTATACACATGCACCGTAAGCCTTCTCGGAAGCATCCGAAAAGAAGTGTAGTTGGATGTTGGTTGCACCGGCCACCGAGACAAATCGGGGAATTCGTACGTTACTCAAGAGATTCAGCTGATCATGGAACGTTTTCCATTCGGTTTGGAGTCTTGGTGGAAGTGGATCATCCCAAGCGTAAGTCTTCCCGTCGTTGGTCGTCAACGCCCACAGGCGTTGCATGAACTGCTTGGCGATGGAGATAACCGGACCGGCGAGGCCCAGTGGGTCGTAGATCTGCGCGATATACGAAAGGACGTTTCGTCTGGTGAGCACGGTAGCAGGAATTGGAAGCTGGATTCGGAATCGCAGTGTATCGGACTTCGGTTCCCAGATCAGCCCGAGGGTGGTCACCGACTGTTCATCGGAGAACTCGTAGAACGGTTGGATTGCTAGTTCGTCCGAAGGAATTTCGGTCAGGACGGCTGAGCTATTGGAGGCCCATTTCCTCAATGGAAAACCGGCGGAATGTAGCATTTCACTGAGCTGGCGACGAAGTTCGATGGCTTCTTCTGGGGTTTCGGCACCGCTGATGAGGTCGTCGACGTAAAAGTCTTCTAAAACGGCCTTCTTCGCCATCGGGAAATTCTCACCTTCATCGTTGGCGAGTTGGACTAGGGTTCGAGTGGCGAGGAATGGTGCAGAGGATGTACCATATGTAACGGTCTGAAGCTCGAACGTGGAGATTGGATCTGTTGGTTTTTTTCTGAAGAGAATTCGGATGAGCGATCGGTCGATGCGTACAACTCCAATCTGCCGGTACATTTTCTCCACATCCGCCACGACTCCAACTACTACTCCAACGACTAGGAACTCCAATTCACTAGTGTAATACTCGTCTCGTGAGCGGATAGTTGCATAGACTAGCTGTGACACCGTGGTCATCGACTCCCCAACACCACTGATGAGGATATTGGTTCGTTCTGTTTTCAGATTCAGACGACGAGCCAGCTTCTTGGATATTAAGTTGGATTGGGATCCGGAATCGATGAGTGCTCGAGCGGCATACTCGTTTCCATATTCATCGAGGACTGTCAGAACAACCGTGCAAAGGAAAGCTGTGCTTGACGAGCGAACATGAGCTGGCATACTCACTTCGGTGGCTGGATGCGCTGATACACTTGATTCCACGGACCTTACCGTGGAGGAGGAAGCTGGTTGCTCAACGACTGGAGTGCTACTGCCTTTCTGTGGGAATGGTGATGCTTGAGGTTGGTGGAGCAGCGTGTGATGTCTTTCGTGACAGAGGCGACAGGAAAACCTTGAGTCGCAGTTCCGAGCGACATGGGATGACTTGAAGCAGTTCCAGCAAAGACGTTTCTGGGCAATGAATTCCCTCCGTTGACCAACGGAAAGCCTGTCACCTAGACCGTAGCGTGCAATGGCGGTCTTTGATTCGCCAACCAGAAAGTAATTTGATTGGTTGAAAAAGGTCCTAGCGTGGAGGTAACATCCATTAGTGCCGTTCTTTGAACAATTTCGAGGAAGGCTTGGACTTTAACTGAATCAGCTGAATTGGTGGTTTACACTTCACCTTGGTTCACTACTCGCACTTAGTATTCTATTAAAATATACTCCACCAACACTACTGGTCTACACGCTCGCTTGAGATAAAGTGAACGATGGCCGTTCTTTAAGCATCGCAGAACCCTTCAGCTCATTACCCGTGACTCCGTGTCACCATTTTGCCGCGGCCATGCATGCCTTATTCAACAGTCGGCCATTAAGCATGACCGTATCGTCTGCCCTCTGGGTTTCACCACAAGTGCTATGCAAATATACTTGAATGCTCGATCACATGGTACATATTTTAAATACTGTATTGGACCTTTGTAACAGAACGGTTACAATATGTTTGCTCGTGTGGTGCCCACTTTACGCTTGTCAACTAGGAACTAACAGAGCAACTGAAGCTAGATGGTTCGTTGATCTTTACTATCCAATTCGTTCGAAACATTTGCCTCTGAGAGGCAGATAACGCAATTGTGCCTATCTTATAGCGGTCGTATGACAAAACGGGAGAGTTGCCAGCAGTGATGGGAAAGCTCGCGTGATCTCACCAAGACTTGCGAACTTTTCCCTTGGTAAACTTCGTAAAATGTCGCGAACTTATCCAACGCGAGTTGCCAGTCTTCTTGATATATCGTTTTCGAATATGGAAGGAGCTAAATATAATCCTTAAAATTATGATTCCGAGGAAGAAAGAAGGTGCAACGGATGTTATAGTACTAACAAACTTTACCAGTCAGTAAGGTTTTACTGGGTTTTTGAATTGCGGAGCTGTTGGGTAAAAGATTAAAATCTTGTGCAGACCTGTTAACTTCATTTAATAATTGAGAATAAAATTTAGCGATTCAAATGATTCCTTAGTCATTTGAATTTATACCCATTTTTTCTGCAATTCAATAAACCAGGTAAAAATTCTGACTCATGTAAAATTGACTTTTTGTGAACCGTCTTAGCCCTTTATGCATTTAAAAAAAAACACATTGAATTTCAACAAGTGTTTGCTACCACTTTTCTTGCGTCTCGTTTTCTGGAACCTCGCGAACTGAAGATATCAAGATCTCGGGTTATCTCCAAGCACATATATAGCATTTCATAAATTGAGACCATGTATGTAGTAACCTAATTCCTGTAATCGAAATGTTATCAAGATACACTTTCCCCAACTAAACAAGAAAACTCGATTATATCCAATTAGCGCACAGTGCTGTGCACAATATCAGTGACTATTCCCGTGGTCACTGGCAATTCAAATATTGCACACGAAACACGAACACCGACTGAGAATTTCCGCCGATCCCGGTTTCCTCTCTGTTTCACGCAGTTGAAACTAAATAATAAATAGCAACGACTAATTTTAGAGTTTCTCTCGCTGTTGGTTGTTTGCATTTTAAAATTTTAAATTCCTTTTAATTGGTCCAATTTACATTTCATTTTGCTCGTTATCACTTTCTGCAGGACGGCAGAACCTTACCTTAAATCACCCACCATCCCCATGTTCCTCAGCCATCGACTGGTGTTGGCTGGAACCTGTAGTGGTGGTTCCTGGAGCTGAACGAGGAGCGTTGGCTAAAAGTGTTCTTTCATTATTTAAGACATGTTTTTCTTGAAATCACTTTACCTCCTCGACCGCCACCAACTTAATCTGGGAATTAATTACGTGAAAAGAAAACGGAAACAACTGGCTTCAGATCAGCTTGCACAGCACAATGTGAGCGAAACTGAGGAATTACGCCTTTGGTCTTTAATGTTTGCTCTGCCATCAACGAAATCCCTGCTTGGTATGGCTTACCCTCTGACCGACCATCCAGGAGGAAGGGAATGGAACCTCCCCGACACGAAAATCCGGCCCGGCTACTTTTTGGCAGAAGGTAGTTAAGCATCACACACACACACCGAGCAATGCCTGCAAATGGAACAGATTCAATTAATAGCGGATTAGTTTTGTTTCATGAGAGGGAAACTTTGTGGTATTATCGTGGTTGGGCATCAAAGACAAGCAGAAATGGAAGACCGGTGGGGGGGGGGGGGAGGGGGTCTTCAGACCGTTCTTTAACTCAGAGAAAGAGCGACTTACTGCGGAGTGTGGGTGTAGTATTTAATTCTTCGTAATCTTAAGGATGTGGCGTTGACTTTAAGAGAAAATTACGGATGGAGTAGAGAGAGAAAGGAAAACCTGGTCTAGAGTGTATTTTTGGAAATTATCGCCAGTTGGCTGGCGATAATATTTATTGGAAATGTTGGTAGGAGCAAAAGGGGCTTGTTAGTTGAGAAACTAAACTCAATTGTCGGAAAATGCCTCAATCTCAGCTTATGCTTTTGAAGAGCTATGAGCCCACCCAAATGTTATGTGCGTTGGTGGACGATGAGCTTTAAAATACTCTGAAAATTTTGTTGTACTTCTTCTTCTGCTTTCCTTTATTTAATGTCGGTCTCTTTTCCACAATCGAGTGCCGATTGATGATTAATCACCGACGGCAATCGAGTTCCAGCGAGACGACTCCACATCCAATTGCCAATTGTGATATTTGTTTGCCATGATTTTTGCTATTCTTTAGATATGGCAACAACTGACCGTTCAGCTTTGGTCCCATAGATTTTTTCTAATATTATTTTTGATATGCTACCTCTTATATCAATCAAAAAATCCAAATTGCTAATAGCTTTCATGTTCTGTTCCCATATTCTAATAGTGCTATTGTTTTGATATTCTCGTCTACTCGGAATGATGTTCATATATAATTATATGTATTAGCTGTATTAACAATCTGGGAAAACCATGGGGTAGCTGTACCAACATGGCTATACGGTCCAAATTTGGTTCGTTGATAATTTTTGCATCGAAAATAATGAGATTAATCAAACAGCTGTAATGGTAGGTGTATGGCTGGTGGGTGGAGAGAGTTGGCCGATGGTCGGTCAGCTACGCACCCTTCATTTTTTTCCTTGATTTGTTTTCCGATAGATCCATCAACTCATTCACCGAGGACGAACGGCTTTACTTCCCTGATCAGTGATGTTATGCCTCAGAAGATCCCGGCGGCTTCGAGGCCCTTTGGAATGAGAGGCAATCACGCTTATCGGCGCCACTGCCCACCCTTCGATCATCTATCTGCTTACCAAAACTGGATTTCACCTATAAATAAGAATGACACCAATAACAATAGATTTAATATAGCAGCCATGCTACAACTGCACTAGCTGTTACATAGGAATGACATAAAACAAGCTCTCTTATAGCGGTAAGCTATATCCAGGATAATACTTTGATAATATTTTGGAAAATCTGGATTAAATCCACATCCTCGCTTCGGTAAGCACCAAGAGAGGATTAAACTATGAAAGCACGCATCCATTCTCTCTCGCATTGTAGAGAGTGTCTTTGTGTGAGTGCATTCGCGGGAGAGCTGCCAATCAGCTGATAGTTGTTTTTTATTCGACTTAGCGAAATAGGAACCTACCGTGTATCTCAAAATTGATCGACATTTTTTTGTAACATGGTTTATAAATCATGGCTGGTGGTTCAACATATGTTTATTGATTTATTGCTATAGTTTTGGTATTTATTGGAAGATCCTGTATGAAGTTAGATTTATTTTAGTAAAACGCTCGATTTTCAACTTTCTACCTAGTGGACGAATTGTAGTCAGATTAGTGGCATATGAATGATCTTTATTATGACTAAAAATTTGTTAAATTACAAGAAAAAGGTGTTTTTCTAAAATTGCTCTAAATTTTTGAAAACTTAACAAAATATGCCCAATACTGAGCTAATAATTGATAAATGAATGCTGAGTCAGCTGCCAAAAATTCTTATTCATTTTTTTTAACTTGTGCTTTTAGAGCCGTGTTTCTGAAATTTAAGAATAGCTGTACGAGCCATTTTTAGATACACTGTATATCAAGTTGAATATTGCATTAGGTCCTAAGACATTTATGGATTATCTTTCGTAAATAACTGGAGCATAAAGGCTGACTATAAGTAAAGTGGTACGCACAAAATAACCTGTAATTCGTAATTCAATAATTTTAAAAAGTCCATTACCCAACTAACAATTCTCACAATGTAAACGCTTTACTCATTTCATGTATACAGCTTTAACTCATTTACTCAACCTCTATACAAGCAAATCTGGAGAACATAGTCAGCTAATTATGGTTGTTGGGACGGTTGGGACAAGCTCTTATTGCATTATCCATTAACGCTTCTATACAGCTGTTATCCTGCTGTTTGTTGTGTGGCAACTTGAAAGGCGCTTATTCAACCTTTTCCCGGTTATCCAATAACCACAGCACAGCTTTCTCTTTAAGCCGGGTTAAATACTGTTTACGCTTTTTTTATGGAGGAATTTTTTGAGTTTATTTTGCTGTGAATCAAATAAATCGAAATTAGTTACACACACAAGTCATCACCAAATTATTTACCCTGCACCGGAACCTGGAATCGAACTCGAGACGACCGCATTGGCAAACCTTGACGCTACCAACTGTGCTACGCCAACACTTTGAACTGTTGTAAACAAATCAACATGCCCTTCTACAACAAAATCGCTGAATAGAGGCTTTATAATAGTGCACATGAA